TGCTACTCTAAACTTAAGCAGGAATAGACCTCCTGCTATCAGGATAAACAAAGCAAAGAAAAATAGTTGAATTTCAGGAAAATTTTGTTTCAAAGGAAGGGGACAACTCTGAAGAAGAGTCTCTACAAACACCTTATTCTGAAATAGATTAAGAATAGGGTGGAAAACGCTGAAATGTTTGATTCGTTTTCTTATCAAGATTCAAAAGGAAGCAGCTAATTCAAATGGCGAAGAGAGGGAACTGAGACCTGGAAACAGTGGGAAGATGGAAATCTAATCACCAAGTTAAAAACCACGAAAAACCACTTTGACTTCATACTAAAGACTGAAAAGCTAAAGGTAGTCTCATTAAAACCGGAGCAATTGCTATGACTTGTTATTTAGCATTGCTCTGGAAATTCTAGCCAATGAATAAAGAAATGGTTTAGAAATAAAAAATACAGCTATTGCAAAAAAAAAAAGTGAATAACACTGTCGACATATTCATATATCTTTACCAAACACAAGAGAATCAATGCAAAACAGTTCACCAGGGTAGCTAAATAAATAGAAAATTCATAACTTCCCTAAATACCAATCAAAGACTATCTAGAAATTATTGTTTTTAAGTATTTTGTTTACAATAATAGCAACAGAAAAGTATAAGATGCCTGAGAATACTTTCATCAAGAAGTATGCAAAAACCTATATGAAAAAAATATAAAATCATATTCAGAGACACAGAAGAATACTTGGTCCGTGTTATTAAATGGAATATAGCTAAGATGCCATTTCTTCTTAAATTAATTTTTAAGCTCCAAGCATAAAATTAAGCAATGGAAAGCAATTCCATTCAGATCACAGCAAGATCTTTTTGTAACTTGACAAAAACTGATTCTGAAGTTCTGGTAGAATAAAGTAGCTCGAAGTTGTGGCGAGATCAAAGGAATGTGAAGTCTACTTTGTTTTGAAGCAAAACACATACTTTTATACATTCGCTTGCAGTCCTAATCATGGTTAATAAAACTCCATCCTTCTAGTCGTTCAGGCCAGGAGTCTTGAGTTATCCATGATTCCTTTCACACTTCCTAAATCCAATTACGAGCAAATTCATCCACCTTTTCTAGAGGAAAAAAGTAAAAAGCCAGAATCTAACCACTTCTCATTTTCCTACTTATCATCCTGGTCTGAGCCACCATTATCTCTGCTATGGATTCTGCAGTGAACTTCTAACTGGTCTCCTTTGCCTCTCTACAACCCCAGTGATTCTTTCAAAGCTTGCGTCAAAGTTTGTTTTCCTTAGTGTAAAAGCCGAAGACCTTCCAAGGGCCTGAACTAACTTCTACAGGCCAGTCCTGCCTATGCCTGTTTTTTGTAAGGGCTCCTGAGCTAAGAATGGTTTTTACATTTTTAAAGGATTGGTTTAAAAAGCAAAGAATATGTAATAAAGATCTTAAGTCACCTGCAAAGCTTAAATTACTTACTGTCTGCTCTTGTACAGAAAAATAAATGATGACCCTTGCCCGTGGCCTCAATGGTCCCTTCTCTTAGTATTCCCCCAATAGCGGCTTCCTTTTGTTACACGCTCCATTCACGGGCTCCATTCACAGTCTGCTGTGGGGTTTTTGCATTTGCGTTGGCCAGTTCCCTTTGCCTAGACTGTTTCCCCGCCAGCTCTCCGCTTGGCTTACTCCTTTACTGCTTTCAAGTGTTTGCTCAGTGTCATTCCTCACCCACCCTCCCTTTTAAAATGCAGCCCTGCCCTCTGGCATTCCTCTTCTCCCTGATCTTGCTCCATATTTCTGTGCAGCAGTTAACATTTTAATATACTCAATGATAAGCCGCTTACTATTTCTTCCTCCATTAGACTATAAGTCTTCCAAAGACAGAGCTCAGTAACCATTTGTATTTATTGAAAATGGAATGCAAAACAAAGTTAACATGAAACACTGTCACTTTGTGGTTCTTCTGAACTTTCACTTGATTTTTGATGAATAGGAGAAAACAGGTATTACCGAGAGTTTCGTAACAATTCGTCTATTGAGTTTGTGGCTAATAAGAGGGAATCATATACAGGTGGCCTCTGAATGTTTTGGTGGTAGGCAAGTATCACATTCTCTTTTAACACTACCACCCACAGAAGTAGTAAGATAAGTGACCCCTCTCAACAGGTCTGCCCTGTTGGCCTTAGTATCTTCCATAGCATTTTGTGTTCATTAATTATCTTCCCTTGTAGTTCAGGGTGTTCAGAGGACATTTTTCATGATTGCATGAATAATTATACACAATGGATCTGATTAGTGGAACACCCTGAGCTTCCAGGCAGGGTTCCAGTGATCTGTTGTAGGGTACTGTCCTGAAAAATCTAGGTACAGGTGGCTTCACTAGAGATTTCTACCACACATGTAAGAAAGAAAAAAACAATTTCTACACACACTGCTCCATAAAATTTAAGAGAAAATAATTGTTCTTAACTCATTATATGAGGCCAAGATTATCCTAATACCAAAACCAAAGAAATTACAAGAAAACTTATAGACTAGTATCTCGTGATCATAGATGCAAAAATTCTAAACTAAATTGAATCTAACAGAAGGATTATACATCACAACTAAGTGGAGTTTACCCCTAGAATGCAGGGCTGGTTCAACATGCAAAAATCAATCAGTGTAATTTATAGTATTGACAAAATTACATGTACAAAATTACATATAAACGGGAAAAAACACAGCCTCTATTTTTTATTAAAAACTCACCAAACTAGGAATAGGAATTGAGAACTTCCTCTCCCTAATAAAGGACACTGCAGAAATGCTCCAACCAGCATTATGCATATGGTGAAAGGCAGAACCATTTATCTCTTAAGATCAGGGATGTAATAGGGTGTCTTCTTTCACCTCTTCTATTCAACTTTATACTTGGAGGTTGGAGCCTGTGCTGTCATACAAGCAAAAATAAATAGATAAAAGACATGGAAGAAGTAAAGCGGTATTTGTAGATGACATCGTCATCTACATAGAAAAGCTAAATCTGTAAAAAAAGCTCTTAGAACCAATATGTGACTTTAGCAAGATCACAGGTTACAAACATCAATATACAAAGAGCAGTTGTATTTCTATGTAGTAGCAGTGAAAAACCCAAAATTGAAATTTAAAAAAACATTTGGGATAGCAAAAAAATAAGAAAGAAAGAAACAGAGATGTGACAAAAGAAGTGAAAGACCTATACACTGAAAACTATAAAATATTGCTAAGAGATGAAAGACCTAAATAAGTGGGAGATACACCTTATTTATCGGTTTGAAGACTCAATGTTGTTAAAATGTCAGTTCTTTCTGAATTGATTTATAGTTATATTGTAATCCCAGCAGGCTTTTTTTATAGAAATTGACAAGCTGGTTCAAAAATTTATATGGAAATACAAAGGAAGGCCTAGAATAATCAAACCAACTTGGAACAATAATAGTTGTAGGGCTCACACCATCTGATTTCAAGAACTATAGAGCTATAGTAATCAAAATGGTGTCATATCAACATAAAAGAAGACATATAGATCAGTAACAGAATAGAGAATCCAGAAATAAACCTACATATGTATGGAAAATTTTTGACAGAGATGCAGATGCAATTCAGCGGAGAAAGGATAGTTTTTCAACAGTGGTGCTAAAACAATTTGATAGCCACATATGCAAAAAAGAAAGAAAAAAAGGGCCCTATACCTCTACCATACACCAGAATTAACTCAAAATGGATTACAC